GTGCATGCATACATTTCCATGAGCCTTTCTGGACCCAGGAAGCTGTGTAATGTTAACCTATTCACTCACGATGAAAGAGAACAAAAGATGTATCCCTAGAATAACCAATAGGCCCACTAAGAGTTTTTGGAACTCTAACTTCATTCAACAAAAGTCTTAGTAGTATTCATTTCTAAAAAATGAATTAAAAAAAAATGACCAACAGAATTGGCTGATTCCCAGTTTTCACAGTAAAAGGATCTAACTTGTCTTAAAATATTATGAGCTTCCCCAAACTTGTATCATCCCAGGTTATGGCTAGGTGATTCTGGGGCCACCTTTATTTTCATCATTAACTAAAATATCCTCATACTAAAAGCAAGGTCTTCCTGCCTTCCTGAGTCCTGTAATCTGAATGCCACTGCTGAGGCCGGTCTGCTGACTATGTACTTTCTGACCAGAAGAAAACTTAGAAGAGATCCTTCTGTATAGTTCTCTTACCACTGAGGAAGATATTTTCCTTTTCAGAAAACAACAAAATCTGAGGTAACTGATACTTCTGCTACAAATGCCTAGAAAAAAGATCAGATTTTTAACAATAAGTAGTTTATATTCATAGGTGAGTTAATAAGAAATAAAGGGAAATCCCTATGTGATGGAGACAAAGAAGAAAATGAAAACCAGAATAATCATCTGATACTGCAGCTAAACTTTATTATTATTTTCATAACCTTAGGATTGGGTACTATCAACCAGAAGATGAGACACGGGCCCAAGTGAGGCACAAAGTTAGAAGTGATTCCCAACTTAAAGGCTGAGACTCTCTTTTTCTTTTTGAGAGAGAGAGGCAGAGGAAGACGGAGAGAGAATCCCAAGCAGGCTCCACCCTCAGTGTGGAGCCCAATGCAGGGCTCGATACCACTACCATGAGATCATGACCCGAGCCAAAATCAAGAGTCATAGCAGGATGGGTTTAAGGTTCAGTATTTTACTACCAGTGTAGTTCAATAACTCCCAAATTGAGAAATTAACATAAAAACTGCACCGAGGTTAGTGTTATCTCTGGAACTCCTAGCAGATCAAAACCAAAACTGACTCTATGTCTATGTTAATAGGTAGCACAAATAGCAGCTAATTTGTGACCTGGAAAATATTTATGAGGAAGCGGGCCAGTTTATTACCAGTATATATAAATCTCTGTAGGTAAGGATGAGAAAGTCTATTTCTGTCTAAAGAGGGGAATAGAGAGAAATGAAGAAAGGATAGTATTTGAGGAGATAATACATGAGAACTTTCCAAAAGTGATGAAAGCTATCAATCTTCAGATCTATACAGTACTTGAACAGACTGAAAGAAAAATGCAGAATGGTGGAGACAAATAAAAACCTTAAGAGAACAAAACTAGAGAACAAAGGCGTATTACCTCCAAAGGAATAATTAGATTGATTTCTCAACAGCAACCATAGAGGCCAGGATAAAATGTAGTATTTTCAAAGTGGCAGGAAAACAAAAAAACACACCTCTCAATCTAGAACTCTCTGCCCAGCTAATATATCAAGATTGAGAGCAAAGACTTTCAGTGGCTGAAAGAGAATTCACTACCAACAATCCTACACTGAAAAAATCAGTAAGGGTGGTACTTCGGGGAGGGAAATGGAACCTAAAAAAGCAGAGCAGGATTTTTTAAAAACTGGTAAACATGAGGGTTTATCCAAATAAGCACTGAGCGGGGCACCTGGGTGGCTCAGTCAGTTAAGTGTTTGACTTTGGCTCAGGTCATGATCTCACAGTTCGTGAGTTCAAGCCCTGCAAAGGGTTATGTGCTGACAGCTCAGACCCTGACCCTGCTTCAGATTCTGTGTCTCCTCTCTCTCAGCCTTTCCCGGCTCACTGTCTCTCAAAAATAAAACAAAAAAATTTCAAAGAAACACTAAGTGTGAACCACCACCACAGCAGTAATTATCACTACTTTGAAAGGATAAACACTAAGAAAAGAAAATACTAGACAACAAAAACACTGCAGAGAAGATCATCCATATTCAGGAAGAAGATAAAGCAATTCACATTAAAGCCATGGTTTTTAAACTTTGATGTGCATAAGAATTACCTAGAAGTTTTGTTAAAATACCACCTGCTTGGGGTGCCTGGGTGGCTCAGTCGGTTGAGTGTCCGACTTCGGCTCAGGTCATGATCTCACACTCGTGAGTTCAAGCCCCGCGTCGGGCTCTGTGCTGACAGCTCAGAGCCTGGAGCCTACTTCAGATTGTGTGTCTCCCCCTCTCTCTGCCCCTCCCCTGCTCATGCTCTGTCTCTGTCTCAAAAGTAAAAATAAAAAAATTGAAAAAAAAAATTTTTAAATACCACCTGCTTGGCCTTGTCCCCCCAACACATCCAATCCAACAGGTCTAGAGCTCTGGAGCTGGGGGCTGAGAATTTGTACTTCTAATGAGTTCCAAGGTGAGGCTGATAATGCTGCTTCAGGACCTCTTTGAAAATCAACAGCACTTGATTTTAAGTCAAATACACATATTAAAAATTTATAGGTAAATACCCAAATAAGTAAAGAAGACTAGATCATTTACAATCCAGAGAAGGGAAAAATGAATAAACAAAAATAAATCAATCCCACCAAAGGCAGGTAAGTTGGGGGGGGGGGGGAGAACTAAATACAACTCTATAAGTTATCATCCAAAATGAATTAAAATGACAATGAAAAAAAAACCAAAGATGGTCAGACTGAATAAAAAACAAAATTCTGCTATTTGTTGAATAGTAGGAATTAAGTCGGTCTCTGTAATGGCAAAAAGACAAAGTAACCAGCGACAGAGAACAGAAAACCCAGGACAGACTCACGCACGTAGGGAATTCTGATATATAACAGAGATGACACTTTAAATCATTGAGAAAAGGATTGACTATTGAATAAACAGAGCCAAAATGGCTGGTTATCAAGGGAAAAATGAAACTAGATTCCCACCTCTCACTTAGATAAAATCAACTTAGAATTAAATACTTACATGTAAATAGCAAAAACTAAAACTTTTAGAAGAAAATATAGTAGTAGGGTAGGATTTCTTAAGACACAAAAAGAACTAATTAGAAAAGATTTGTGGGGCACCTGGGTGGCTCAGTTAAGCATTTGACTTCAGCTCAGGTCATGATCTCACAGTTTGTGGGTTTGAGTCCTGCATCGGGCTCTGTGCTGACAGTTTGGAGCCTGGAGCCTGCTTCTAATTATGTGTCTCCTGCTCTCTCTGCTCCTCCCTTGCTTGTGCTCTGTTTTTCTCTCTCTCTCAAAAATAAACATTTTAAAAAATTAAAAAAAAAAAAATGTGTGGGGTGGCTGGGTGGCTCAGTCTGTTGAGCATCCAACTTCAGCTCAGGTCATGATCTCACAGTTTGTAAGTTCAAGTCCCTTGGTGGGCTCTCCACTTTCATTAAACAGTCCACTTCGGGTCCTCTGTCTCCCTCTCTCTGCTCCTTCCCTGTTCGCGCTCTCGCGCGCTCTCTCTCAAAAATAAACATTAAAAATAAATAAATAAAATTTTAAAAAAGATCTGTGAATTCAACTAACTTTAAATCAAACCTGTTCATTAAAAGACACTGTAAGAAGGTGTAAAGATGAACATAAAAAGTTTGAGAAGATATTTATAATACATATAACTAAAAAAAATTGAAATGCAGAAGAGATAAAGAACATATGCAGATCACTACCACTCTCATTAAGACATTACAAATAGGTGAAAGACACAAGCATTTCAAACAGGAAAAAAAAGATTAAACGTGGAAAGATGCTACAGAGAACAAACTGAGGGCTGCTGGAGGGGAGGTAGGTGGGTGGGGTTAAATGGATGATGGGCACAAAGGAGGGCACTTTTTTTGGATGAGCACTGGGTGTCATATATAAGAAATGAATCAATGGGTTCTACTCCTGAAGCCAAGATACACTGTATGTTGTTAACTAAATTGAATAGAAAGAAAGAAAGAAAGAAAGAAAGAAAGAAAGAAAGAGAAAAGGAAGAGAAGGAAGGAACAAAAGGAAGGAAGAGAAGGAAGAGAAGGAAGAGAAGGAAGAGAAGGAAGGAAGGAAGGTAGATCATCAGAAATCAGGGGACTGCAAATGAAGACCAAAATGATTTACCATTGTAAACCCATCAGATTCACTAAAACTAATAAACTGACAAAATCAGTGTCAGACGATGCATCAGAGAAAACCTTTACATTCTGCTAGCAGTGCAGTTTAAAGTCCTTGGAAGACAAATTTAACATTATTTTGTAAAATTTAGTGCCAACAATTTTACTCCTACGTATGCCCGAGACAATCTCATACTTTTGCTCCAGAAGACATCACAAGAATGTTCCTAGCAGCAAAGGTTCTATCAGTAAAGACCTAAAAATAGCACAATATGTGCATCTCTAGGAAAATGGATACAGCATGGTGTACTTCCATGACAATTTTGTACATCAGAGAAAATGAATGAATGAACTATAGCTATAAACAACCTGAGTATATGAAAACCAGATAAAAAAGGCAAATCCTTGAAGAGGACACAGAATATGGTATTTTTTTTAAAAGCTAAAAAAAAAAACCCAAAGTACATATGATAAAATTATTATTATTATTATTATTATTATTATTATTATTATTATTATTTTGAAGCAGAGAAAGCAAAAATCTATGTCAGTGGTTCTGGGGAGCGAAGAGGACAGAAGGTTGAGATGAGGAGCTACTAAGTGGATCCCACCTAGTAGTAATGCAAGAGTTCTTGGAATGGGTGTGGAGGGTGGTATCAGGAGTAGTCTTTAAGATTTTAATGCTTTAAAACTTAACTTTGTAACTTAAGCATGCATGTGTATGCGTACACACACACACGTGTGTGTGTGTGTGTGTGTACACACATATTTATTTCCATTCTTTGGTATGTATCAACTATATATAAAAAAGTAAAAAAAGGGAAAATATGACTAAAACATGCTAGCCGATACTGCCGTGGAAACCAAATCCCCAGTCCATTACTTACTGGTCAAGGGTCTTATAATAAATGTCCAGATCCTTGTTCACAAGCTCTGTTGTTCTCATGACAATCATCATTTCCCTGTACTTTTCCTCCGCATCCCGAAATTGAGGTTCTCGAAGTTCTCTCTTAAAATGTATAATTTCTTCCTCATAACCTTTCTGTCGCCCTATTGCCAAACTGTGATTTCTTTTTATATTATCTATTTTTTCTTCCAATTTCTGATGATCACTACAGAAGGTAAAAATGACAATTAAAGACAATTTTTAGCTTTTAGCAGCCTGAAATGGAAAAGCTGGATCTTTTTAGATATATAATAAGTCTCCTTATTAAGGCTTTAGTACTAAAGAAAATTTTCTTCCTTCCCAAATCTCTGAAGCATCCAGGTTTCTAAACAGCTGATTTCTGTGTGCCGAATAAGGAACTCTGAACACTGAACAAATTCCTTACTTTAAGCACTAACCTAAAAAAAAGTGCTGTCAGTGATTAAATTACAAATTCACAGATTTTTGACTGTGAACCAAGAATGCACAATTATCAACACTGAGAAGTTACTAAGAAGGGTCATCATTTTGTTCACAGTACATCAGAGACAAAATACAGTTTCATCTCCAACTATTAGTTTCTGTGGTATTAATAAAAGTTTGTAATCTACAAAATCTCACTTGCCCAAATAGAAGCATAATTATAACCCCAAAAGGTAAAATACACAAACTTTTCTGATAAGTTGGGAGGTAATACAGATTTGAATATGTGTTTTAAAAACCTTACTCATTTAACAATTATGTATTAAGCACCTCTTATTAAGCACTGTTCTCCAGTTTATGGACATTCTTACAGAACTGGCCTGATTATGTTTTGTTGATATTTCTGTTGCACGCTAGTTGAAGACAGATTGGAAAAAGATCAGACCTACTTAGTAGTCTGAATGAATATAGACATCACTGTTATGTACCAGGCACAGAAGAAATTATAAAAATACCTGGCTTTTCTTCAGTAGCAAAGAATAAATTGTTTCGATTTTAAGTATCTTCTAAAAGCTTCACTCTTTCAACTTCAACACTGGGAGTGCTAACAATGCAATGTTAAAGAGCTGAGGCTTGGGAGCTAGGATATCTGGGTCACATTCCAGGCCTTCATCATAATTTCCTGTGGATTTTTTTTTCTGGGTCTCAATGTCCTCATGCTTTAAAAATGAGACTGAAGATGAAGAGCTCTTCCAGTTATAAAGTTTGATTTTTTCAATATATGAAAGAGATTTTTAAATAGCTAACTGGGGAGATCTGGGGACTTCACATTTGTAATCCTGCCCATCACTCCAGTATGACTACAAATTCTTTATCACTTCTTTGGTAATTCAATTCGTAAAGCCCTGACATATAGTTGCATAAAAAAAATCCATTCACCTCCCTGTAAGCCTCAAGGTAGACTTATGCTAAAATTCTTTTTTAAAAAATATACTGAATATTGTTTACATTTCAATAAAAAGATCTTTAAAGGCTCCTTTTACAAACATACTTTTTCATTTGTAAGACCTGCATTTGACCCATTTCCTTCAAATGCTGTTTTCTTTCTTCTTCAACTTCTTTTAGTTCCTCATTTCTTTTTCTTAAAGTAAGGTTATCTTGTAGCCATCTTTCTTGTATCTAAATAATATTAAATTGGTTAACAAAAACAATCAAGTTACCAACATGAGACTCAATATACAGCTGTTGACAGGTGGTACTAATTCTGCCTTTACTTGGAATCATGTTAAACTCAACAGAGGGGGAATAAGCCACTGTGAAGGGATCTTGAGGCCTGGAAAAATATGGCTGGCTCATAAATACACAAAACAGATATTTAAAGGATGAAATAAAAGAATATAACTAGATGTTGTAGTATTTTATACTTAATGCCTCATTGGATCATCTTGCATGGGAACCCCACAAGAGAGACTACTGATGTAAAAGATCACAAGAGAGAAATATACTATCAGTCTCCCCCACTTTTTTTCCCCTATTTGTATCTGTCCCCTAACATGTACCAAGGTTGTAAGAAGCGTTAGGTATGTCAGATAGACCTTTACTTTCAAGCTGACAAATGATAGTCACAAGACAGTCAGAAATTTCACAAAAATAGTATATATCTACATAGTGATGACACTTTCCCTGGCCATTGAACTGAATTGAAAAATTTTAAAGTTGGCTGTTCTGAGTACTTCTGTCCTTAAAAAAGAAACCCAGTCACTTAGCGGCAGCAGCAACGCCAAGATAATTATTTCAGTAATTACCCTGGTGATTGTGGACTAGGCTGTCAAGAGCCAAAACAAATAGCTTATAAGGTGACTCTTTGGAATGTAGACAAAAAAATCTTGCAGAAACAGGTTTGGCTCATAAAAGCCTGAATATAGGAAACTCATCCCAAGTTCACAGTCGGGACTTTTCAAAGAGGAAGCTAGGACCCTCTTGCAGTAATCCCTGCAACTGAAATAAACTCAGTGGTGTGGGAAGTGGGAGGGAGGGGCAGACTTGTGGCAGTTATCTTCTTGCCAACAGTAATGGCACAGGAATTACTAAGGAATAAGGATCTGGGAGGTGAGTGAGAAGAAGGGAAGCCCAGGACTTCTGTCACATGCTTAAGTCTCCCATCTATGATTCAGTAATTTGAGATAGGTATTTTCTTAAACTGTCATTAAGGCCACCTTCAGTTTTCCTGCAAACAGTAATACAAATATACATATAAATGATACAGTTGTAAATGTCCTTTTGTTGCCAAGGCAACCTAATGTACCACTGCAGCTGCTGTGACTTTCAAAAATTCTCCCATAGTAGACTATGCTTGGACTTTTTCATTATTAGTAACAGAAAGCTAAGCATTTCTTTCTTTCTTTTTTTTTTTTTTTTAAGGTCAGCTTCTAGTTGCCCTTAATTGTCATTCTGGAAGACAGTATACAGCACGGTGGTTAAGGAGCAAAAGTTTTGGACTCAGGTACATCTAGGCTCAAATCTCAGCATTACAAAGCTCTCATATTTGATGACTTCGGGCAAATTAGTTTAAATTCTGAGCCTCAGTTTACTTATAAGATGGTGATAATAATACCACCTGTCATACAGAGCTGATATGAAGATTAAATGAGTGAACATATGTAACCAGCACAGTGCCCGGCTCAGTAATTGACAGGGAAAAGCTTTTTGGGTTAAATGTGTCCTTGAGAATTCCAATTATTGTTTACAAAACAAACTACTGGAGAAAGAGAAAAGAAAGCCAGATGCAGTTATACTACAACAGAACTGTTTTTCTGTTATAGGAGCAATTTGACAACGTAAGGTCAAGTTCTCCTTCTATTGTTGCTTTTGTGACCTGGGGCAAGACAGGTCACCTCCAGTTCCTTTCATCTAAGAAAGGAGGGAGGCAGGTTATTAAACTACCAAATTTTTTATTCTGTGGACTAAATTTAGTAGAGCTTAATCATGAAATAAGGTACTGTTAGGCTCAATTTTAAATATTAACTCCAGTCATCCAGCTCAGATGACAGTTAATGCATGCAGTGGGATACCTAAAGCAAACCTAAAAATTAGCTGCCTCCTAGGCAACTTTGATAAAATAGCACACTGAATAGATGCAGTTCAATGCCCATCAAGTCTGGTTGGGAAAAAGACCATGTAATTCTAGAGGATAGCTTGGAAGCTCGCAATGCTCTAGCTCAGTGACTCAGAACCCCTGGGGAACTTTAACAAAGCATACATGCCTCTGCTCATGCCCCAGAAATTCTGATTTATTGGCCTATAATGGAAACCCCGACATGTATATTTTTAATAACACAGGTGATTTTTTTTTTTTTTTTAGAAAACTGAGATGTAATTCATATACCATACAATTCACCATTTTAAAGTGTGTAACTCAGTGGTTTTAGTATATTCACAAGATTATGCCACAATTACTACTATCTTATTTCAGAACATTTACCACCCCTGAAGGAAATACACTAACACATTAGCAGTCACTTGATTCCCTTCTCTCTCCTTCCCCTAGCCCCTGGCAACCCTAATTTGCTTTCTGTCCCTATGGATATCTGCATTTCATATAGAAAGAATAATACAGTATGTGGTCTTTTGTGATTGGATTCTTTGATCACTTAGCATGTTGTTTTCAAGGTTTATCCATGTTGTAGCATATATCAATATTTCATTCCTTTTCGAGGCTGAATAATTTTCCATGAGTGAGGGTTAATGTTATGTGTCAACCTGACTGGGCCATGGGGTGCTTAGACATATGTTTGGAAATGTTGGTGGAACATTATTCTGAGTATGTCTTGAAATTAACATTTGAATTGGGAGACTAAAACAGACTGCCCCCCCCCCCCCCCCCCCCCCCCCCGCCCCCGCAATGTGGGTGAGCCTCATCACATTAACTGACAATGACCTGAAAAGAACAAAAACCTCCAAGTAAGAGGTAACTTCGCTGGCCTGAATGTCTAAGCTGGAACAGTGGTCTTTTCCCGCCTTTAGGCTTGAACTGAAACCTTGGCTCTCCTTGTTCTCAGGCCTTCAAACTCAGACTAGAACTATACCACTGGCTTCCCTTGGTCTCCATCTTGCCAACTACACATCTTGGGAGTTCTCAGACTCTACAATCACGTGAGCCAATTCCTTATAATAAACTCCTTTATATAAATTTGTATATCGGTATATATCCTATTGGTTCTGTTTCTCTGGAGAACCCTAATACATATGGATATACCACATTTATCCATTCATCAGTTGATGACCATTTGGGTTATTTCCATATTTTGACTACTGTGAATAACGCTGCTATGAATATTCTTATACAAGTTTTTATGTGAACATGTTTAAAATTTTCTTGGTTGTATCCTGGGAGTGGTAAACCCAAGTGATTCTAATGGGTGCCCCTAGTTCTCTAAACACTCCAACATTTATCTTAGGCTTTAATCACACCACCTTCCAAAGAACACCTCATCAAGGAAAGATAAAAAAAGATGCTGAAACACACTGTGTGGGGGAAAAAAAAAGCAGGGCACCTGAGTAGCTCAATTAGTTAAGCATCTGACTTTGGCTCAGGTCATGATCTCACAGTTCTGGGAGTTCCAGCCCAGCATCAGGCTCTATGCTGACAGCTCAGAGCCTGGAGCCTGCTTCGGATTCTGTGTCTCCCTCTCTCTCTCTGCCTCCTGCCCCCCCCCCCCAAATAAATAAACATTAAAAAAATTTAAAAGTCCCAAGACATTTCCTAAAGACCTATTTTTATTAATCTACACAGTGTCCTCCTTGCCATAAATGCCTATGGGAGACATTTTTCTCTGGTTTGATTACAGGGAACTGGTTTCCTTTCAGCTCTGAGACAATGTAAATCTTAACTTTGTGACTTCCCATCTTCATGTGACACTAAAATCTTTAACAAGCATATCACATTTCATGGGCTACATTTATATACTTACTACTCTCCTGGTTTTACCTTCTTGTCCATATTTCCATAGAGTCTCATTTTTCCACTAACTTAAAATGTTATTTGGCATTGCTCTATGTATATAACTTACTAAATAATTTCTGGAACAAGGAAGGTTACAAAAGTAAACTAATACAGTCAGATCTACTAAAGTTTAGACCATCAACTTAAGGGTCACAAATGGGCAAATCTTAACGACCTCTACATATGTTTATATATGGAGGAACATGAACGATTTATAGACTGTGATTTTAAAGTTTTTTTTTTTTCAACGTTTATTTATTTTTGGGACAGAGAGAGACAGAGCATGAACGGGGGAGGGGCAGAGAGAGAGGGGGACACAGAATCGGAAACAGGCTCCAGGCTCTGAGCCATCAGCCCAGAGCCCGACGCGGGGCTCGAACTCACGGACCGCGAGATCGTGACCTGGCTGAAGTCGGACGCTCAACC